TAAGGATTAAGCGTAAGACTGAATAATCAGCCGTTTATGAGTATCTCTGGAAAAAATTATAAGATATTATAGATATATGTCACAAGGGACATGACGAAACATAAAGCGTATGTCATCTTAATGTGTTTTTTACGATTTGTGCCTACGCTTGAGCGTTCGTATCGAACGCATCTGTAGAAGATGTGATGATGCAAGCCAAGAAGATGAGGCATGACGTTAACAGATCAACTGAGACGAGACGGCACCGCCCGCTGAACAGAACCTACAAACTGGAACAGTGTCTGTGGAAACATGAGATAGTAGAGGACTCAGCGGTATAGGACCCCGTACACAAGCGTAGCCATAGAAAATTTCTTTTTTGGGTGCACAATATTCGACGTTTGCGGCTGATAAAACATGCATCCAGCAGCAATGTTAAATCCTGCCATGCCATCTTCGTTGCATGCGCTCCAATATCAAGTGACGATAAGAACGAGTTGAAGGCTTTTTTCATGGACTTGGGGAAGTCGTACACACTTCTGCAAAGCCATTGTTGGCGATTTCAGTAGCAAAAGTGGCCCCAGGTGAGTGGGTGTTGTAGGGACTGTATCAAGTTAGTTGTAAGTTCTGTCTCTGTATTTTCCCAGTGCTATTTGTGATACTCAAGGTAGCGGGATACACGACACTCATGTTGTTCAACTAACGCTATTCTATAGGTTTCACTACTTGAACCAGTGGTGTACACGGCAATTGTGTAGGAGGCCTCTCAGCCTTTTTGTACATGAACAGCACCTCAAGCCGTTCCATAACAGTGTGAAAGGCTTCACATTAGGACTTAGGACTGCGATGGAATACACGGGAGAAAAGAGGTAGAGAGAAGGGTAACCTTTATCAAAATGACCAGAACTATCCATCAAACTCGCAGTTGAAGAACCTCACCATCGGATCTAGGAATCGTTGATGGAGTGAGATTATTCCTATGAGATTATTCCGGAATTTTACACAAAATTAAAGCCCTCCTTTGCAAATTTCAATTTCACGAAAAGGACAAGTGGCGCAAAATCCAAGAGTTATGGTCTCAAAACTACTTT